GGCCGGAGTTCAACAAAAACCCCCCCAACAAGTACACCTTCGTAGATCAGCCCAAAATTGAAGAAAAAATCATACATTTTCGTCTCAAATCGATCCGATCGGCGGCGGCGGACTTCAGCAGATGGTCTTCATTCAAGACGGCTCCGATCGGCGGCGGCGGAGGATGCGGTGTTGGTGTTCGAGGTTGGGGAGCCAGAGATCCGTGGGTTGGGGAGCCAGAGATCCACGGTGTTGGAGACGGTGTTGGTGTTCGGGGTTGGAAACGAAGAAGAAGGGGTTGGGAGCCAGAGATCCGTGGGTTGGGGAGCCAGAGATCCGCGGTGTTGGAGAAGGTGTTGGTGTTCGGGGTTGGAAACGAAGAAGAAGGGGCGCTGATGGAGTTGGGGAAACGAAGAGGATTTGGTGATTTGTGGAAATGCAGATGAGTTGGGGAAGAAAAGAATGGGCGATGACGAAGATGATTTGGGGAAGATGATTTTTTTTAATTGGCTGCCAGTGTTTTTAATTGGCTTTCACATTCGCAATTGAACAGTGGTAAAAATGCCGTTAAAAATGTCCGTTGAGTGAAAAATACTGCCGTTGTGTGAAAAAATAACCGTTGAACAGTAAGAAAAACTCTATAAATTCACAATTCTTCCACACAAATTATTCCACACAACTCTCTCATAAAAAAAAACTCTATATTTTCCTATCAAATTACAAATCTCATGGATCACTCCCAAAACAACTACTATTCGCAACTCCTTACCGGTGAAGGATCGACCTTATACTCGTCGTTCTATACAAAAGTCGTAGAAGAAGGTCATCCCATCGAGTTATCACAATTCGCAACACAACAAGTGTCATCACAAGAAACACCGACCACAAAGAAGAAGAAGGCTTACACGCGGTTAGAAAATTAGACTGTCCACGAGGATAAGCTTCTTGTGTCTGCTTGGCTGAACACGAGCCAAGACGCCATCCAAGGTACGGGGCAACACAAAGATAAGTTCTGGCAAAGAGCTAACGACTACTTTATCCAATACTCTACCGATCCAACGAGCCGCACACCAAACCAAATGATGCACCGTTGGTCAACGATTCAACTGTCTGTCAACAAGTTCTGCGGGTGCGTTGCTCAGATTGAAGGAAGACAAAGATCTGGTATGGGAATTATTGACCAGGTAAATATTTAACTTATATGTTTTTATGTAAATATTTAACTTATATGTTAGATTATTCTAAATTTAACTTTTGTGTAGACTGCAGAAGTAAAAGAATTATACCAATCTCTTTATGGTAAGTCATTCGTGTTTGACCATTGCTGGGTTGAGTTGCGTTATCATCAAAAGTGGATCCAACAAATGAAAACTTACAATAAGATTCGATCACAGCCGAGAAGAACCACAAACTATGATTCCTCACCAAACAATTCCATGCCAGCGACCCCCATCGAGTTGAACACCGACTCGGATGATGTGTTAGTAAAGCCTGAAGGGAGGAAAGCAGCAAAGCTCAAGAGGAAACAAAATGTGGAAAACTCTGTATCCGCTACGTCCATCATGGGAGAGGCTTTCACGTGGATGAAGCAAACCACCAATCAAAAAAATAGAGCTAAAACAGAAGAAACAAGATGACGATATCATGAAGATGGATCTCTCAACACTCAATTCAGTTCAACGACAATACTTTGAAATGCGTCAGGCAGAGATATTGGAGAGGTGGATGTCCAAGGGTTCTTCCTAATTATCATATATTGTACTCGCATCGCATCCTCATTAGTTCTTCCTAATTATCAAATATTATCTTGTATTAGATTTATGATTGTACTTGAAGTTGAAAATTTTGGCATTAAATGAAAACAACTACTTTATTGAAAATGAAATTGGCGTAGTACAACAACTTGAACTCCTTTTCTGAAATTACATTAGACATAAAGAACCTTAGTCCTCGGCGATGGATCCCTTGAGCTGCCACAGATGCTCGATCAAATTATTTTTTAGTGATTTGTGTGTTTGCGTGTTCCTGATCCGATGATGATTTTGGATGAACTCGGTTAGAGGCACCGTCTGCACATGAGAAGGTTCAACGACTGGTACCGAATCAGTAAAGTCGAAGTTGTTGTCCAATTGACAATCACGTTCATCTTCAACGATCATGTTATGCATTATGATACAAGCTGTCATGATATCTTTCAGCACACAAGGTTGCCAGAAACGTCCTGGTCCACGAACAATCGCAAATCGAGCTTGCAACACACCAAAAGCTCGCTCAACATCTTTTCTTGCGCTTTATTGTTGTTGAGCAAAATACTTATGCTTGTTTCCTCGAGGTGCTGGAATAGTCTTCATTAATGTGGACCACTCTGGGTAAATCCCGTCGGCGAGATAGTATCCCATATTATACTCGTGGCCATTGACAGTATAGTTGCACGGTAAAGCTCTTCCCTCCGCAAGTTGTGTAAAAACCGGTGAACAATATAGAACATTAAGGTCATTGTGAGACCCCGACAGTCCAAAGAAGGCATGCCATATCCAAAGATCTTTGCTAGTTACGGCCTCCAAAATAATTGTAGGTTCATGAAAATGTCCAGTATACATACCTTGCCAGGCAGTTGGACAGTTCTTCCATGTCCAGTGCATGCAGTCGATGCTCCCAAGCATACCAGGAAAACCTCATTGTGAACCTTCCTCGAGCAGGCGTGCAACGTCTTCATTAGTTGGTGAACGAAGGTATTCCTCTCCAAAGATGTTGATAATCGATCGAACGAACCTCTTCACGCTCTCAAGCGACGTACTTTTACCGATCCGAACGTAGTCGTCAACGGATTCTCCATATGCGAGCATCCGCATAGCTGCAGTAATCTTTTGAAGACTAGATAGTCCTAACTGTCTAGCACCATTCCTCTTTTGGACGAAGTACTTATCATGTTCGACAACTGCGTCGTGGATTCGAAGGAATAACGAACGCATCATTCTGAATCTTTGACGAAAATAATAAAGAGGATAGGTTGGTGCATCAGCAAAATAATCTTGGAACAACCGATTGTGGCCTTCCAGTCGGTTTCGATGGAGCACGATACGTCGTTTGTGTTGAACTGAAGTTGAACATTTCTCTTGTTCTTCTTCCTCAACGACATCAGCTCCCATAAGAAAGAACGTCTTTATCATTTCATCATCGCTAGAGCTAGATGAGCTAGACATTTTATTCAGGGAGATGATGGGTTGAGGAGAGAAGCCATTGGATTTTATAGGAATCAGTTGGTTGACGGTCAAAGTTTGCGATACCTCGAACTTCGTGCCCAACCTCGAAGACCGCTGGTTACCTCGAAGATCGTGTGCGTTCCCTCGAAAGCCACGGGTTACCTCGAAGATCGTGTGCGCTCCCTGGAAGGCCGTGGGTTGCCTCGAAGACTGTGTGCGCTCCCTCGAAGGCCGTATCCAACGGTTAGAAATAAAATACAAGAGGTTTAAATATAATTGAAAGTAATGGGTAAAATATTAAAATAGAAGAGGGTTTTTTTTGATATTGTTGGAGCTCCTAACTAGGAGCTTGTTGGAGCTCCATAAAAGAAGGAGTGCCTCCCAAAGCTTATTTTTTTAATTTTTTATTCTAAAATGCTTGAGAGCTCTTGAGAGCTTGTTGACTAGGACTCCCAACTGGGAGCTTGCTGCACTTATTCTAAGAGTAAGTGCAGCAGCCTCCCAAGAAGGCTCCTAAGTCCTATGTGGCAAGAAAAAGTTCCCAAGACCTTCCAACAAGCTCCCAAGGAAGCTCTCAAGTCCTAGTTGGCGGTGGGGTCCACCATGGAGCTCCTAAGAGCTCCACAAATTTGTGGAACATTTGGGAGCTCCTAAGGGGTGGGGGCCCACTAAAAAATATTTTTTTATTAGATTTGTTGTTTTAAAAAATATTTATAAAATGTTAGAGATAGAAGAATAGATTTTTCAAATAATATTTATAAAATGTTAGAGATAGAAGAATAGATTTTTCAAATAATATTTATGCTCCTAGTTGGGAGTTTGTTGGAATATTTTTCCTAGTTAGATTTTTCAAATAATATTTATGCTCCTAGTTGGGAGTTTGTTGGAATATTTTTCCTAGTATGAAGCTTCTATGTGGGACCCATGCTTGAGAGCACTCCAACAAGAGCTCCCTACTAGGAGATTACTGCACTTGCTCTAATAGAGGATTTCAACATCTTCTACTCTCTAGTAGTTCATAATAAGTAGTGAATGAGGATAAATTACCACCAGAGTACCGTAAGGCTTATTTGATGCTTCGTATTGACTCGTAGAATTTAGTCATTTTTTCCGCATAATATGGCTTTTCTTTGCTTCTTTCTTTTGAAACTAGTGTGCATCCCGTGCAAAACGTGACATCCATTTTTTTTATAAGTGCTACAGTAATATTTTTTAAATGCTAAAGTATTCCACCTGAGCTATGGTAAATAATGCTACATCAATGTTTTTTTAAATGCTATAGTTCCTGATTGTGCTACAGTAATTTATTGTAGCATGAATAGTGAAGCTTGGGTCCCCTGTTTGTGCCACGGTAACAATGACACAGCAATTTACTGTCGCATTACTCTATCATGAATAATAAATCTTGGATCCTCGCTGTAGCATGAATAATAAATCTTGGATCCTCCCATTATTATAGAGAAATAGATTTACTTCTTTTTATTTTTGCTGATATGATCTATTTTATTCCAATGTTGCTCAGTACCAACTGGATCTGTAGAAACATTACGCAATGATCAAATATTATAAAGAATAATCATCTTTACTTTTAATATCATTTTAATATCAACTGTATAGGTATCAAACAACAGTGGTTTGCTATCCAACTATTTCTTTAGTGCGAAAAACCTTAAGCCCGATATCAAACAAGTAAACCCCGAGGTCTAGGCCTCTCTTTCATAGTCCAAACTCACACAAATGTTGCAATGTCTAATAATTAGAAATTTGGAAGGGAAAAATGCTTCCAGCCCTCAAAAGCCAAGTGAACGTGCTTCCCACCTCTAAGACTTGGTCAATGGGTGTTTTACCCCTAAAAATAAAGATTTTGTTCTCTGAGCCCCCAAAACACAAAACCAAAGACATTAAAACATGTGAAGACCATAATACCCTTCTCTCTCTCTTTCTTTTTTTATTAAAATATGATGAGGATTATTTTATTATTTCTCTCTCTCTCTCTCTCTCTTTATCATGATGTACCAAGAGGATCTTTAGATAGGTAACCCTAACAATTAAACCCGTAACCTTAACAATTAAACCCGTAACCTTAACAATAAATCCGTAACCTACACAACAAATCCACAACCTTAACAACAAACCCTTAACCTTAACAACCAACCCGTAACCTTAACAATCAACCCGTAACTTTAACAACCTCCCAATACAAACAACCAAAATAATAAAAAACGAAAATAATAAAATAATCCTCATCAATCATTTCAACTATCCTCTTGGTACATCATGATAAAGAGAGAGAAAACAAAAATAATAAAATAATCCCCATCATATTTTAATAAAAAAAGAAAGAGAGAGAGAGATGATTCATAACCTTAGCAACAAACCCTTAACCTTAACAACCAACCCCGTAACCTTAACAACCAACCCGTAACCTTAACAACCTCCCAATACAAACAACCAAAATAATAAAAAACAAAAATAATAAAATAATCCTCATCAATCATTTCAACTATCCTCTTGGTACATCATGATAAAGAGAGAGAGAAAACAAAAATAATAAAATAATCCCCATCATATTTTAATAAAAAAAGAAAGAGAGAGAGATGATTCATAACCTTAACAACAAACCCTTAACCTTAACAACCAACCCGTAACCTTAACAACCAACCCGTAACCTTAACAACCTCCCAATACAAACAACCAAAATAATAAAAAACGAAAATAATAAAATAATCATCATCAATTATTTCAACTATCCTCTTGGTACATCATGATAAAGAGAGAGAGAAAACAAAAATAATAAAATAATCCCCCATCATATTTTAATAAAAAAAGAAAGAGAGAAAGAAGTGTATTATGGTCTGAAAAATTCCTCAATGACCCAAAATATGGGACCGATAGAGGGGACAAGTGAGGTGTCTCCCACCAATAGAGTTGGCCATCATTAATGAGTTGGCCAGTTGGGAGTCCCTGTAGCAAAACTCTTATGGTCTTCACATGTTTTAATGTCTTGGGTTTTGTGTTTTGGGGGCTCAGAGAACAGATTCTTTATTTTTAGGGGTAAAACACCCATTGACCAAGTCCTGAGGATGGGAAGCATGTTCACTTGGCTTTTTGGGGCTGGAAGCATTTTTCCCAATTTGGAATATACATATGTTATAGACACGGACCGAATCCTTGACATTTTGAGCGGGGCTCAAGCCCTAACCACTAGGCGATTTCGAGGGGAGCATATGTAAAGTCGAAATATCAGTGCTCCCCTAAAGTTTTACTCCTCTATCAAAAAGTAAATCAAGAGTGCAAAAAGACTAATCCCATAGGTCCTTCAGCGCAAAACAAACATCGATCCCCGGCCCACCCCCACTTGAATGCAACCACCCTCCCACTAACTTTTTTTGGCGAATCCCGATCATGAAATAAAACCTCAAAGCCCATCATCATCATCATCATCATCATCATCTTCCTCCTTGAAAATGGGCCAAGCCAGCCCAGCAGCAACAAACAGCAGCAGCAGAATCCATACTACAGAGAGGACCCAGGTCTCCGCCATGATCAGCAAGGGCCCTAACCTGCCTTCAACTCCGCCTTCCCTCGTCCCCCCCCGCCCAACAAAAACCCTCTTCCAGATGCATCACACCAGGGGTCCCCCAGGCCCCCGACGGCACAACCCACCCACCGAACCTCCACCTCAAAGCGGACCCGGGTCCCAGAACCGGTCAAACCCGGAATCCTCTCCGGAGAGAAACCCAATTGGGGTGATGGGGATGTTGAGCTCCTGATAAGTTCCAGTGACGGGCTTCGGGTCTCGATGGAGGTGCATCGGAGGGCGCTGGCGGAGAAGAGTAGGTTTTTTAGGGAGAATTTGGGGAGGAGGGGCGGGGTCGTGGAGATTTGCGAGTGCGATGACGTGGAGGCTTACGTGGAGGTGGTGGGCATGATGTATTGTGGGGATTTGAGGAGGAGGTTGGCTGGGGAGGAGATTGGCAGAGTTCTTGGGTTGCTCAAGGTGAGATTTTTATTTTTATTTTTGTTCTTTTTTGATTGTGTTTTTTTTTATGTTGGAGTTATTCATTTGGTTTTATTACTCTATGGACAAGGCATTATAGCTTGTTTTGTGAGTTTGGAGACATTGATTAGATATATCAAAATTTGATTGATTTCTAGTGCTATGAGCAAAAGCTTCTGTAAAGTTGAGTGGGTAAGAGCTCCTGCCCACCAACTTTTATATTCATTGGATTTGTTTTGAGATTTGTGTCGCCGTGTTGATATTCGATATATATTAAGATATGCGTTTCAAAAATAGCATTGGTTTGTATCATGTGACAACATGAATCTCAAAACAAATCTAATAATAGATAATATAAGTTGGTGGATAGAGCCCTCAATTAACTTAAGTTTATCCTAGCTTTACTCAGTGCTTAGATAGTTTCAGCATTACAAGGCACATCCAATTGTATGGATTATCTTCATATAGAAAAACTAATTTTAAACATGCCACCTGAAGTCCTCTCTGTCGAGAAACCAAATTGGGGCTGGGGATATCTAGCTGCTGATAAGATCTAACCATAAGTTTTGGGTCTCAATGCACGTGCATCAGAGAATGTTGGCGGATAAGGATACGGTTCTTGGGAGAATCTGGGAAAGAATGTTGGGTTTGTGGAAATTTGCAAGTTGTGGTGGCGGTTAGTTGATTTTCCCCCTGTGATTTTGGTGTAACCCCTGTGATTTTGTTGCTAGATCAATCATTTTTTTATTACCCATAAATGTACATTTTGAAGAACATATAGAATAGCTTATCTGGTCGGTTTTGGAGACTGGTATTAGATATATTAAAATCTGTGTGATTTCTAGTGCTTAGGTAGTTTGTGCATTACAAGTTACATCCTATTGAATGGATTTCAATTTGGAACAGTTCAAGTATTTGTAGTTTATATCTGAGTACTTCCGAAAGTATGCAGTGAAGAATCAACTTGTTCGATCAAATTCGTTCATTACTTAGTGGATGGTTGTAGTTTGTTGAATGAATATAATTCAATAAGAACATAATGATAACTATATCTGAATGAAGCATAATGGTCCTAGATATAAATGTACAGTTACTATTTAAGTGGTCTTTTTACTACCAAATAAGAAGTGAAGAGGACCCAAATTCTGTTTGAATTATATTTTCTGATTGCTACAAATATGTGAAATTTCATGCTTGATATGGTTTGTCTCAATCATGGACTGTTTAGTTCTTATATTCATAGGATTTGTTAATATAGTGTAAGAAGGATATATGGAACATACGATATGATCAGAAAGAATTGAAGTTGTGTTGATGTGTATGCATCCTCAACCGAACATGGATGTTCTAAGGTCCAGATTTGTTTTATACTCCTTTTATTCTAAGAAAGTATTGTAGATTGGAAATTGATTCATGCGATTAAACTAGTTAACTAGTTTAGTATACCTCCATCGACATTCTGGCACAAGACAATGCAACACTTGGAAGTTCCCATAAACTAAACACTTCTCATGTGGCTAAATTACCGTATTGGTATTTTTTTCTTGACCTATTTTACCACTTTGGTATTTTTTGTTACTCTGATGTCATTTTGGTTTTTTTTTCTTGGCCCGATGGTCAAATAGGCCCAAAATTTGGCCGCTGGACAAAGAAACCCACGAATTGCTGACATGGAGTGTATTAAAGGGTAGTTATTTTGGTAATTAGGTTAGTTGAAGCATGTGAGAAGCACATGCCTCGTCTCTCTCTGTCACTCGACGTTAGGGAAGAAATTAGGTTGGGGTTAGGGCTTAAACCAAAGTTCCCCATTTTCATTTTCACCTTCATCATCTCCATTTCTTGAATATTCAGTATATCTTGTTCAAATTCAGGCTCAATTTCAAAGAGACGTGGATTGAATCAAAGAAATGGTGGTGGAAAAAGAACAATTACTAAAATAATTAACCCTTATTACCAAAATAATTATCCTTCAGTACACTTCAACTCAGCGATTTGTGGGGTTTATAAGCCAGTGGCTAACTTTTGGGTCTATTTGATCGTCGGGCCAAGAAAAAAAAACCAAAATGATGCTAGAGTAACATAAAATACTAGTGGTAAAGTGGGTCAAGAAAAAATACCAATCTGGTAATTTAAGCCTTCTTATGTAATGAAGAAAAGTAAAATAGGGTGTCATTATATTAAAGACTAGAAAGACTATATAGAATATCTTGAAAGGTTCTATAAGGAAATAATGGAAAGGAAAATATTAGCAAATAAAAAACTTAAAACTATATGCTGCTTGTCTTTAACTATGTTAATGCCACTATAAAAGACGTAGTATTACATATAATCGTTGGCTTCTATTTAAGTGTCAGTTTAATATTTTGTTTATGCTCATGTATGCTTTTGGATCTGCTTGCATGCAAAGCTCAAGAATTTCCTTGCACTATAACCCCCAAAAAAGTGATTCTTGGACATTTAAGTGCATGATCCTCAACATTGAATGATATATCCTTGTTCTAAATATGCACTTTAAAAGATTATTTAGCCATCTATTAAGCAATATTTTAAGTATCGGCTGATAAACTGATAGTATTGGAGATTTGTCGGTTTTGCGGGCCTTCCTCTATGTTAAGTTCGATTCTAAATCGGTTATCGTTTTTGGATGTTTATCGCCGATAATGCAGCAATAAAGTGAGCTATCAGCCAATATTGTCGGTCCAAAAATCAAAATTATCGGTCTTTGGTTTGAGTTTTTATTTCGGGCAATGGGCACCTATTCAATGCACTTTAAATCCGACCCGACCCGAGTTTCTACCATTGGTTAGTGATGCTAAACATAATTATTTACATTTTAGTATATTATATTTTATTAAATATGATTAGATTATATTTTAGAATATTATATTATGTATATTACCATCCGGTAATGTCATTCTGATAAAAACTACTTATCCCCGATATATCCCGGCTGTCCGCTATCCATATGGATTTTGACCATCCAAAAAATCCCTAATAACTGATATTTAGAACCTTGCTATGAAGTGGTTTGAATTTGTTCTACCTTTAGCGAACTGTTCAATGTCCAACCGCTGATGACTTTATCAATTCACACTAAAGAGAGCCGTTTCTTGTATTTGTACTTGTGTATCTACGTGCACGCAATCAATTGAAATTTCACTTTAGCTCCCAAAAATTGCTTCTCGGACCATTTAAGTGCATGATCCACAGCATTAAACATGATCTTGCTCTGAATGTGCTTAAAAGATTATTGAACCATCCATCAACTCGTTTGATTTTGTTCCACTTAAGGAAACTGTTCTGATGCATAGTTTAATGATCTTTAAGCCATATGATTTTTCCTCCAAGGCAGTTTGGATGTGGAGAACATGCTCCGGGGTGTCGATCATGACTCAAATTACAAGGCATGTTTTTTTGGCTGCAGTGAAGGATATTCTTGTGCTGCTAACATGTTCACATTTTACACACACACACACATATACAGGGGTAGGCTAATTAGTGTTGTTAACATTCAACATGGGGTTACTACTAAACCCGATTCTGAAGATTTCACTTGTCAAATTTAAAAACCCACACACATATAGTTGAGTTGGACTATTATTAATAACATCCAGCATGCAGATAACTCGGTATTGTAGATTGCACTTGTCAAGTTAAAAAACCTCACCGATAGATGTGATCTATTAGATAGAAACTATGTAGTGATATTTTAGTAAATATAAAAACCCCAATGAACTCAATAGCCTTGTGCAGGTATCTGCAGCGATCATGTTTGATGCTGGAGTGGTCGCATGCTTGGAATATCTAGAAGCAGTTCCTTGGTCAGAAGATCAAGAAGAGGAGATATTATCAGTTCTCAACCATCTTGAACTTCACGATTCACTGTCGGAAGTATTAAAAAGAGTTTTAGTAGAACCATCTACTTCCTCAAAATCCAATGCTATCTTCTTGCAACTTCTCGGTGGGGTCCTACAAGCAAAAGATGATAAAGCCCGAAAGAGTATGAAATCGTTAATATCCGGATTACTAAGAGAAGATAACAGTAACCATATTGACAAGCTTGATGTCTCTAGAGAAACTCTTTACCATCTTTGTGATAAATGCCTAAATTCCCTTCATTTTTGCTTATCTGAGGCTGCCAATATAAATGAGAGCTCTCGAGATAGAGGAAATTTAATGGTGGAAATAGCTCGAGAAGCGGATAATATACATTGGCTTGTTGAGATTCTTATAGATAAAAAGTTTGTTGATGAGTTTGTGATGATTTGGGCAGATCAAACACAACTCTCTAGCCTTCACCCAAAGATTCCATGTATGTATCGGTTTGAGATCAGCAGGATCACTGCTCAATTATGCATAGCGATTGGTAAAGGAGATATTTTGGTGTCAAAAAATGCAAGATTTTCTTTGTTGCAAACCTGGTTGGAAGCTCTTTACAATGATTTCGGTTGGATGAAGAGGGCTTGTAGAGCTATTGATAAGAATTTGGTAGAAGATGGTTTATGCAAAACAATTCTTACATTGCCGATGGCTCAGCAGCAAGCTATTCTGTTGAGATGGTTCGATCGATACTTGAAGAAAGGGGATGATTGTCCGAATCTTCAAAGAGCTTTTGAGGTTTGGTGGAGGAGAACATTTATAAGAAGATATGGAAGAGTTTGGGATCAGTCTGAGATGCAAATTGCAGTTTGTGATTACCCAACATGAAGGTATCTGGTTTCAATATTTATTTTTTGGGTTAATAGCAAATATATCTCCTGTGTTTTGAGGGCGTAGCCACTTACATCCCCTAGACTATTTTGTTAGCTCTTATGCTCCCCGAAACTTAGATGATATTACTTTTTGTCCTCCTATTCAGAGGGCAATTTAGTCTTTTTTAGTAGGACTCTTTGTATATATACCCATTGAATCA